CAATCCTCTCAGCTGAAACCAGGACAACCCTTTATGTAGTATTTACATTCCCCTTTAAAAATATAAGTGCTTTTTCATGTAAATAAAAGAACTGATAAGACAGACACACACCCCCCCCGGAACTGATTTGAAGACAATTCATGACAAAACAGTGCATCTGAAACAAGGAAAATCAAGGTGAAGGTGGCAGCAGGTTTCTATGTCTGCAAAGTGATGCTTTCAGAACACATAAATATATTGAGCAGTGTTGTATCTGTCTTGTATGCTTCCAAAATCTTAAGCATGAAACAAATGTAAAATTTATTTCTGGAGGTGGTTACTGCTGCTAGGTTGGTGTCATTTAAAAATAGTTTCAAAAAACACAGCCATTTGGTACTTAGAAGAAACAGACTGTTGCTTTTGGGGCTAGTGGCATTTCGAGTAAGGTAAAGAATTTTAATGCCACTGGAAAATTACAATAAAATATGATTAAACATGGTTATTTATGATTCCAGATAGTTACTAGCTTGATAAAAGTATGTTTTTGTAACTCTGACTGTAAATAGGAGAGAGTTGTTTCCATTTCAGTGCTGGTTTTTTTTCCCCTAGTTGATCATGAAGTCTTGCACGGGTATAGACTACAAGGAGTTCTACAACTTCCTCAAAGTTATTGCAGAGAACAGGATTTCTGTCTTGGAAAACGGCCTCGATGACGAAGCTTCGGCAAAGAACACTCCAAAAGCTGCCATTTCCACCTTGGGCATGCTCCATGCAGTGTTTGATTTAAAGAGGACTGTGAAGGTGTTAACATCATTGAGTGCTAATGAAGATTTCAAGAAACTAGACCTGACGTCACTTTCTCCACCTCCGGAGGCATTACTCCACCACTTGAAAGCAGCAATAGATACGGCGCTACTCTAACTTCCTATTTATTTAGTTCTTTGTAAAATGAACCTTTTGCAACATGGGTGTTTGTAGAGGACTGACTCCTCCCTGTTTAACAGCTGTTGCAGTTTAAGTACAAAGAGCCTTAATATAGAGTGGGGAGAGAGTACATTCATAAGACAACCAAATAATTTTTAAGTTGACAGCATCTGAGTATCTAGACTAATTGGACAGGAAAAAAAATAATCTCAGATAAAGGAAAAACTCAGATCATGTTAATAATATATTATGAGCCCTGCTGGTGAGTATGCATTCAGGGAAGGGGAACAGAAATTCTTGGTGGACCAAGTTCAGGTCTGTCAGGGCTAAATACTGAGATTGCACCATATTCCCTCTGCTCCTGAGGGGACTGCATACAGACAGCAAACCTGCACTGCAGGCTGCAGCAGTTAAGTTCTGCTTTGTCTGGTCACACCTGAATTGTTTTAAGATCTGTCCTACTTCCAGGTGCAGCTCAGCCTTTTTCTTTTTTTTTTTTTTTTAAAATTAGAGAACCTTACTCAGTTAGCTTCCCTTGAAGCCTGAGCTGGCTCAACAGCTGTAGCCTGGATGTGAAGAGCTAACCGTACCATTTTCCTGTACAGTGGCATCTCTCTAAAGCTGCAAGTCTCAGGTAGAGTCAGCCTGCTCCAGGATCTGCAGCATTAAATTTAACATACCAGGAAGCTGGAGTCCTGATAGCAAATCAGTCACTAATAATTTAAACATGTCATCCACCCAAATTCAAAAGGAGGAACTTGAATGTACTCTCACATTTCTACACACTATTTCAAGGCACTGTATTTTATCAAGCAGAGATTTGATTAATCAGGGAAGCTAGCAAGTAGCCTCATATTATCTCCTAAAAAAGCCATGCTGTTAACACACCAAATAGCACTACTGCATGGTTACATAGCACAATTTGCAACCTGAATGCTACCCTTGGGATAAGAGAGTATTTCCAGTGTTGTATCCCTCTTGCTTTTACTGGTTGGTGAGAAAGCCTAGAAGCACAAATGGCTGCACACTGTTACCTTAGCTGCCTCTTTAGGGCTTACTTGAATTAAAGCTCAAGAACTTCCTCAATTTTCAACAAGATGACCAGTAAGAGCAACTAATAAACTTTACGTTTAGAAAGTGCAATAGTAGAAATCTTCAGTAGGCTGAAAAAAATCTCATTGTTTTCTAGATAATCCTGTGGAGTTTGTACATGCATGCGTTTTGCATGTCCTATTTTGTAGTAGAAATTCTGCATTTTGAGTAGGACATGGTACCTGAAATTAATACCTAGAGCATGGAAGAATGCAGTATGGAGAAAACAATTTTTTATTTTTTTTTAAACAGCTGTGACTACATCTCAGTGATTCAACTTTCTGGCAGACTGTTTCTTTACACTGGAAAACTGCCAGTTTTAAGCAACTCTGAAATTAAAAGTTCACAGCTGTTACTTAGGGCTGTTTACATTCTCAAAGGCAGGCAGCTGGAGTTTTCTTCCTTACATGAAGGTGAGATTTCATAGAGGTGAGGAGCAATGGTTTAAAGCTGACAGTTGGTAGGAAAGCACATTTGTGGTCTTGTATTCCCCAGTCTCACTGCATGCTGTGCGACTCGTATTGGCACCAACCACTTTAAACACTGCAATTTTATAAAGGGTTTGCTTAGATGAACAGTACTTTTCACATCCCATGAAGCTGGAACTGCTTGGCTTTGCTGTGTGAAAACAGCAAAAACCCAAGTCTAGCTTTTACACTGAGAACCCACTATCTCAACATACCCAGGACCAGTTTAGACACCGTACTGTCCAGCAGGCTACATCCTCATTGGGATGGATAGCGTGAGCTTGCTGTGATGCAAAAATTCAGGCAGCAGTTCTCAGGGAAGAGACATCATTTCTGCAGTTAGTTCCTCTTCCCTGTGGAACACTGGTAAGGAAGAAGATAGGCCAGGATCGTAGGGTGGCTGAAGAGGTGTTCAAGTAAATATTGTCTTCACATGAGCTGTCCCTGCACCACAGCATCTTCAGCTCTGAAGATGTGTTACAGCTGTCCTTCATAAGACCTGGTAAGGTTTAGTGTGATCAGTGCAAGACAATGGGGTAAAAAAAAAATAAAATAGTAGTTTAATTGCAGGAAATGATCTTAAAGTTTAAGCCATGTTCTCCTTACTGATTCAGCAGGGAACAGAAGCACAAAAATTAGTTTTATCAATTCAGTCTCTTACAATTACAGTAGGAAACTAATTTCTAGTTCGAATTCTCCATTCCTATGAATAATCAAGTAAGGGAACCACGTATTTTCTAAAGTTAAAGAGAGGAAAGCAAATTCTCAAATGCCTGAAGACAGCAACAAGATTGGAACAAAAAGTATGCGAGCCTGGAATCTCTCTTAAAAATTAGACAGCTTTATTTAAATACAAGTTACTGTAAAACATACATTAGGATTCTCTCATACCAATATATTAACTATTGTAATCAGTGTACTATTTATTAAAGCATAATACTTGTGATAAACAGGAGGAAACAGTCTGTACAGTTTTGTTTTGTTTTCCTGAAGTCACAGACCTGGACAATTTTAAAGTCAATGTGTAAAATAAAAGCAGATTAAAATCGAGTTCAAAAGAGCTTTTGCTCTAAGTATGCAACTCAGACATTACTATTTTTGTCTGATAGGAACAGGATACCAAATATCCTTTTGCCTTTTATAAAGGCAGCATAAAACCCAGCCCAATTCTAATCTGATTTGTACCCCACTGGTGTCAGTGGGTGAGATCTGTCCGCAGGAAGCTGCGCACCTAGGAAAACCAGTGTTTTTGCAGCTCTGTCAGTGCAGAAAGCCAGGTGGTTTTATGTTTTGTCTCACCAGGACTTGTAATTTCTCACCCCAGGACAACATACGTCCATTCTACTAGGCACACACGAACCCCTGCAGAACTACGAAGCAGCACTAGCACATTCAAGGTTCAAGTGTGATATCCCTGAGATTTAACAGGAGTCTGCAGAATATAAATATGTACTTTTAAGTATCATAAAACAAGGAAGTTAGTCAATAGCAGCTTTACAATGCAATGGAGAGGTACTGAGTTTGACATAAGTAGGAAGAGGAATGGAAAAACCTTCCTCTTAGGGATACAGGAAAAGCCACCTCACTCCAGGAACAGGTTGTTTAGGAGCATGGAGATGGCCTCTCCTGTCCATGCCACATTTCTGCAAACCAGAAATAGTCCCACCGAAACAGTTCTTGCGGTTTCATTTAACCGCTTTCTATAAAATAACCTCCCTTATGTCAGTTTACCAGTGCAAAACAAACACAGCATCTGAGAGAACAGTTAAACGAGGTTCCGAGGCAGATTGCTATTTGCAGAAAAGTGAAATAAAACCTCAGGGCAAAAGAAACCATGGCCACTGTCCACAGAGATTCCCAAACACAAGCTGAGGTTACGTATTGAAGGCTTTCAGCCCACAGCATCCATACATCTGTGCTTTACGATCATAGCTAGTCTAAGAGAAAACCCAGCAACAAGCCCTCATCTGATAAATAACCGTTCTTCCCTTTTTAAAGGCAGCCAGAACAGTAGCGACTTGATTGCTTCTTCATCCAACAGTGTTTGGTCAAGAAAGTGCGGCAGGGAGGAGGCTCCCTTCGAGTCCTGGGGCTCAGGAGCTGTGAGCGACGTGGCAGTTCTCCCTTTGGTGGAGTCTCATCCTCTGGATGTGTTCGTAGCATGACTGGATAAGGAACGGAGCAACCCATTAAGGAGAAGTTTTGGAACTTTGGGCCAAAATCTGGTCTCTTGCACACAAAGTGAAGCCATGCTGCCCCCACAGATAAAAGATTAAATCTGCACATTATAAATTAAAGGTAGACTAGAAGGAAAATAACCCGTGCTAAGCATAATAACAGCCCTCTAAAATTAAAAGGGAGTATAACGCATCAGTGCCTGTACTACTCAGGAAAGGCTAATGCAGCACGCAGCCATCACTGTTGAAAACGTTTCCATACCTCCAGTGCTGTTAACAGAAAGTCGTACAGTCCTCCTTGATTGTTGGGGTCCATCAAGTCTCTGATCAGATGGATTTCAGCTCCCAGGTGCTGTATTCTAGGAAATAAAGAAAAAAGTCACAACTAGAACAACTCTCTGGGCACCGGTGTTTGAAATCAGATTATGGAGAGAAGGAGGCACGGATCTGGAAGTCCATTGCTGATTCCTTGTGTGTCACCTTGATCTTCTGGAGGCTGAGTCCTTGAGGTATCCAGCATGACTGGATCTCAAAGATGCTCAATCATCGGAAAATTTCAACTCCTCTATTTTTCACAGTCTCTCACTCCCCTCCTTTCTCATCTACAGTCGAGAAAGCTGCCTAGCAAACAAACCTGTATCATCCAACATGACTGAAAAAGAAAAAAAAAAAAAAAGCTGCTGGACTTCATGGCCCCACGTTTAAACATTTCACCCTTTTTTGGAGGCCAAGCATATCCAGGAAGTCAGTCAAGGATTTTGACTCAAATTTGCCAGGGAAAAAAAATAATATATAGATACGTTCTACTGGAGGTAAGCAGGTTCCTGCAGTTCCAGTGAAAGCACAAAGTCTCTTCAGCATAAATGTGTTACATTTACAGTTATTCCTATACAGAAAAAGTCTAATTACTAGATGGTCAGTGATCAAGACATTCCTAGTCTCCAGGGTCAATCACAGCACCCTGTTGAATGGGAAATAGCAGATGTATGATATATAGATGATGCCTTGAAGGCATCAACAATTGCCCTTCAAACGCTTCACATTCCTATTTTCTACAGTAATCTGTGATGCAGGTAAAATGACATTTCCCAGGACAACCCTGAATTATCCTCTTGGATAAGAGAGGGACACTCAGGAAGTCCCTAGCCGCTTTATATCACGGCCAACACCATCACACCACAGCTGGCAGACAACAGCACACAAAAACCCAAATACAGCTCAGGAAAAAGCATGTTAAAACGCAAACCCCAGTTTTTCATTTAAACTATTTGGCCTGGAAACGTGGCTGTCCTTTCTCTGATGGAGGTACCACACAACAACGGGACTGGGAAATGAAAAGCTTCCACTTACTTTGCTCGGGATACAACATACATCAGTAGAGGCAACAGGTCATCCATGGGGAGCTTGTAGTCCTTCTCTACCACTCGGGACACTGTGCTCTCTATCTCCTCATATGTCTTCTGGAGGATCACCAGCTTTTCCCGGGGATCCACCGTGGTGCTGCCAGTGTGAAAACAGCCATGTCAAAGATGCTTCCACTATACAGCTAAAGGGATAAAGCAGCAGAACTAAAAAAACCTCAGAGTAGACCATCATGCTACAGAAATAGACTGTCAATCATCTCAAATGGCTGCACCAAAAGGGGTCAATAACGTTGTGCCAGGAGGCATTACCAGGCTGTAACACCATCCAGATGGACCATGAATCTTCCCAAGCCCTGAGTATGAACTGCTCACCCTAGAGTCAGTCTTTATTTTAGACAGGACTAACCTGAGTCACAGTCCTTCAAGTAAAAGCCAAAGAGCATGGGTTGAATCATTTTGGGCAGTTCTATCAAGATATTACTCTTACAACGGACTAATACAGTTGTCACATCTGTAAAGTTTTTTCTGCCCGTAACGCCCTGCCAAGGTACACATAGCCTGTGCAGACTTCCCTAGAAGATAAGGCACGTTGGAGGCTCTAACCAGGACTAATGTACTTAGGGACCTGAGAGCTCCTGTCTGATGGATCCCTCAACACTTCTTTGCTCCCCTTTAACTTCCTTCCCACTCGTTACTGCAGCACCATCCCCTAAGCTGGACTTCAAGCCAATAAATCAAGCTAAGCTTCTTCAATTGAGCTCTGCTTTGCTCAACTAACATCTTGGGATGCCACACCGGATGGATAACCCTCATGTAGCTCCATGTGTCCAGAGCAATGGGCTCTATCATGACCCTGCAGTCACAGCCAGGCCCAATTTGCTATGCTATTTAAATTATCTTGCAGGCTGACCCAAATATGCTTTTGTAAACAGATGTAAATTTACAGCTTTCCCATCAGTTCTGGTTGTCAATCGGAGGTTATGGATGGTGACTTACATCAGCTTCTGCAAACACTCTGTGGCGGACAGGAAGCACTTGTCTTTGATAAGGGACCGCCTCTGAAAAGGAGATAAAGAGTTGAGCCTCTGCAAGAGCATCTCTCCGAGAGCCACCATGTGGCTCCTCAGTGCTGGACCCAAAATAAGCATTTTTGCTGCCCAGAAAGGAGGGCGAAATAAAGCTGTTGTAGACAGTGCCACTCTGAACGCACTTACATGTCTACAGTGCCACTCTGAACAGAGATATCTTTGAAAAGCCACCGAGCAGAGCATTACAAAGCAACCCTATGCAGAGCTCGTTTTCCCATCCATGGAAATTCACATGCAGTAGCTACAGACCGTAAATAATTAATGCATGTCACGTAGCTCTGATTTCTGAGTGCAGCTCTGATTTCTGCCCTGTGGTTACTTAGATGAAGGTCGATCATTAGCCAGCACCAACACATAGCCTCAATGCCATCTCACTAACACACCAAAGATAACTCTGAGGGTTATTTCTTACCTGGTTGGTTGTCAGGGTGAGATCTTTCAGAGGCCAGAGGTGTCTGAAAGGAGATTACAGAGACAAGATTTAGAAGGCAGATGTCCACGTCTCAACTCTACCCTAAGTCAGTCTTGACTGTTTTTATCTCCTCGTTCAAGGTGATGCTAAAGTCTTGTAGGTGCATGAGGCTTTGTTTGCTCTTCTCATTACACCTGCTACAGGAAGAATTAATAGCTTAGACTCATTAACCCGAGTGTAGGGTTCATTTTACTCACAGATGCTCCTGTAATAATCAGTGGAGAGTTTTGGCACTTTCAGATTCAATTCCTGTTCCCCTGTCTAGACTAAACCAAATTGCCAAATTGAGACTCTGGGTCTTCTGCTACCCTGCTTCAGCACTTGAGCTGCAGATGATGCTGTGTTAGAAAAGCTCACGTGCCTATTGAGTCCGAGTCATTGGTCCTCACCCATCACCTCCAAAGATAGAACTAGGTGAAGGAATGGGTGAAGGAAACATCTGGCTCCATAGCCATTCCCCTGTGTTGAGACTGTGTGCCCACACTGCTACAAGAACTACCATTTGTTGGATACAGCTTTTTCTGAGACACGTTTATAAACTATATCTGATTATTTCTGTGTTGGAGCAGACAATTTGTTTGGTGAGCTAGAAAAGAATATTTTTGCTGAAGGAAAATAAAAGCATAGACAATAGCAGCTTTCCACTGGTCAACGTTGTTCCAGACAGTATTGCAGCCACTCTGTGACAGGACTTCCTCCAACAGACTAGGGAAAACTTCAGTCCTACAGCCAATGATGGACCCAGCAACAGGTTATATGTCCTTTCCTCCTGTGCCATCAGAGCTTCCCCTCGCTGCTACCTTCCCACCTGGTATCATGGGGTTGTGTCCTGGGATGAATAACTGTCACTTACTTCTGCACATCCAGAAACTCTAGCAGCTTGATGTCAGGAAATAGACTTAGGTCCACGATCCCTTGGCAGTACAGGTCATCTTCTCTTTCATGATAAAGCATGTAGAGCATGAAAAGCTCAGGGTAGAAGCAGGGCAAGATCAGCGGCAGGACTACACTGCATGCCTTCTGGTCACTATGGTGAAGAAAAGCAAAGCAGAGTCCTGAAGTGAGACCTTTAACCTTGAGGCACATGGGACACAATGGAAAAGGCACCTCCTGAGACTGCAAGGTGTTCTCCTTATTCTCCCCTCCTTCTTCCACCTCTGAGTTCAATGTCACAGCTGGACAGTAGTGACCTATATAAACACTCTCATGCTGAAGATGCAAGTGCATCTTATGCTGTAGGACAAGACAGGATACTCTTTCTCCGCAAAGTCTCCTTAGTCACTGGGAGAAACCTGGAGCACCAGAGACCTACCGCCAGCTGTTCTCTCTGAGCTGTTCCAGTAGAGCACTTGTCATTGCTTAAGGAAGACAGACCAAATAAATTCAGATAAATTTTCCAGCTCTTTTCCAGCTGTTTACAATTCCACCAACCTCTTGGCTTCATCCAGCCCACATGGGGATGGCTGCAGATTACAGCAAAGGGAAATCTAGACCAAATGGGGACAGCTGAACAAAGACATTTCTTCCCACCCCAAAAACCCTAAACCTGTATCTCCCACAATTATTCCTACCTTCTTATTCTAGGAACATCATGTCTTCTACCTCTTCTGCCACACTTCCCACACTGTACTCCCTATTTGTAGGCCTGCCTTTCTTCTCAGTGCTGGTATGGAAGTCACCATGAACAAGTTCCTGTGACTAATGCAAAGCACACAGTAGTGCTGGGACTACTGCCTCGCACACAATCACGCTGCTGCACAGTTGCTGGTGTGGGTAAACTTGCAAGGCTGTGTGTCACACACACGTCCAACTCTATTCTGCTACAGAACATGATTAGAAGTTGCTCTCATACCTCAAGTAGGACTGCCGAAATATTTGCGCTCAGAGAAGAGTATAGGCACTAAACCTGGCTCAAATGGACAAATACAATCAGTTCAACACTTAAGATATTTTAGAAGACACCCCGTACATCCAAACAGCTTAGAATTAAACAACTGGTGACGCATACCTTGTATCTCCATCCACACACCTTGCAGGCAGTTGGCCTTTCTGTTCCAGTGCCAGATGGAGCAAACCCCTAGAAAAGGAGTAGAACCAAGGTTTAGTCCCCCCCCTCCTTTTTTTAAGGGTAATTTGTTTTTCACAAGTGAGGAGCTCAGCTGTCCCAGCACCAAGCGGGGTATTAGTAAGACTCTCTGTAATCCTTGTAGTGTTGTTTTTGTATTCAAGTTTCACAATTTGAGGACTTTCTCCATTACCAGCAGCAGCCGCCAGGAGTGAATAAGTGTTTCAAAAATCTCCATAGCTTCTGAAGATTAGGGTGGTCACTCTGGAGATCCTAACTGTGGTCTGCATTGAGCACCATTTCCTTGTATTTCCACTCAAGACACATGAGGTTTCAAGACCTGTCATACCAACCAGTTCTCCAATCTATCTATGAACATTAGAGGATGTTCATGCTCTACTCTGAAAAAGTATCTTGCGATTGTCTTGATATTTCCAAAACTTCATAATCTTAAAATGGGGATTAGGCAGACGTTGCCTTTTTGTGGTGTAGAAGCATCAGCCTAGGAAACTTAGCCAGGGGCACAGCAGAGCAAGGTGGGTCTCCCTCTCCACACTGCATATGAAAGGTCTTGAGGCATGAAACAAGCTTTCCAAGGTACGCGCTGAGCTCAGAAGCACCTTCACATGAACCAGGATGTCAGCCCTGTTGTAATGTTCATGAACACAGCTCAGATGAACTGAATTACATCTGACTGTTGCCATCAGCTGTGCTGCTGTTCTCAGTCTGCTCCAGGACAGACAACCCCTCATCGTGGGGCTGGCAGCCTTCCTCAAGCAGACAAGGCTACGCTGATAACAACAGAGCTTTTATTCAACCCCTTATTTTTAAGGCAATACCACTGTGAACACAGCTAGAGGCAGAGCTCCCCACCTCTGCCTACTGTGGCATTTCTTGTATCTTCTCCTAAAAGATACTCAAACAGCAACTGGACCCCAATCACGCCTTTGACCCAGTCTGTAATTACCCATGGACACAACCACACAACTGAACAACCTCATTTTAGAGTCAATACCAACATCAGCCTAGCCTCAACAAGGCACTTTCACTGCATGTTCTTAACTCCTGTTGAGTTGAGGCATGTTAAGCTTAAGCTATTTTTCATTCATAGATATCAAACACCACCATTGTGTACTCTGAAATACTTTGCTGTCCTCGTTACTTAGTGAGGTTTCTTGCTCTTATTTGTGCTTGTCTAAATTCTTACTGTGAGCTCATTGAGCTGCCATAACTCGCTGAGATTTAGTCACATTAAAGCCCCTGGGTCATGTACTGAGCAATGAGCATAATAAAGGTTTTCCAGGTCCATATGACCTCAGTTATTGCAAATAACTCTTTATCCAGCACCATTCTGAAGTAACTCTCCCAAGAAATATGTTGTGACATAAAGTAGCCCCGTCACCTGAAAAATGATCCCAATGGTCTACTCCACAATCCCTCTATGTTCATACCCATTGGAAGGGCTCAGTGTGCTTGACTTACTGGTAAAACTCCCATATTTTCTTTGCATAGTACTTGACTTCCTCTTGTGCCATAGTCAGCAAATGTCTGTTGGCCCCAATCCCAGAATATGTTGCCTGAAAAGCTATCGTCAAGGCCTTCAGCAGCTTTCCCAGTGGGTGCAGAGAAGACTTCAGTGCCTGCATGATAGAGGAAAATTAAATTTTACAAGTCAGCCCTTGTCATTAGGAGAGGATAACACTGAAAGGCCACCCAACCTTCTCTTTTCAGCAAAGGAGAACAAGCCTAGGGGTAATCAACTATAGTTTTGGTCTATTTTTGCTGCTGTAAGCCCATTCTCCTCCCACTATCAGGCAGAAACGTGCTTAGTAGAATTGCTGCTCTGATGAGATTTGCTGTGACATACAAGAGAGAGCAAAGGGTGCTTCAGGGAAAGGCTGGTTGAGTGAAAAACAATCACTGAGAGAGCATGGAAATTTATTAATAACTTCCAGCAGCTGGTTATTTCTTGACACAGTTTGAGAACCAAGAGTGAAGCTTTATCATCACTTCCTGGCCTGTACAGCTGTACACGAAATGGGTGAACAAAAAGCATGAAGGATAACTCTCTTCTTCACAAGCATAGGTACTCTCACACAACTTAATGAAGACTCTTGAAGTCATTCGTAACATTACACGTGCTAAGAGACAGCAACAGAAAGTTGCTACGACTTGTGTCCGTGTCTGGTGGACAGACGTGGATCATTATGCCTTTAAACTTTACCTTCTCTAAATAACTCTGTAGTGACTCCAGCCCCTGGTGCTGGACAAGCTCTTCAAGAATATCTTCTATCTTCCAGGACACATCCTCAGTCCCCCTGAAAAGATGAGAGGTGAGAAAGGAAAACCACACAATGAAGCACTAGGATAAATCCAAACTCGTATTGCAGGTAGATTCCAAGGGGGTTGTAGACTATTAGAACAAATTAATTTTTCTCTACCCTTTTCAATGGAATTGCTCCACTGGCTCACAACACCTGCAATTATTTAAATTCATTGCCTTTGGCTCCCCTTGCAACACCCCAAGTCCATCTCAGGGCTGCTCTCAGTTCATCCTCCTGTCTCATGAGCAGGAGCAACTGGGTAATGCTTGGGTTAATAACTTCAACACATGGCGGACCCTAATGTAAACCACTATCCTCTCTACACAAAAGGGCTCCTCTGTTGCAAGGAGGGCATGTAATGCTCATACCTTTGGCAGAAGAGGTACTCCTGAGATTTCCGCAGCTCCTTGCTCGTTTGTATGTGGAACCCCACAAAAGACTCCTCTGTTTCTTCTTTGCAGCCAGAATGGATGAACTCTAGGAACTGGTCATAGATTCCCTTCCATCTCTTCTCCACTGGGAACTCCTCGAGGCCCAGCTGACTGCAAAACATGACATGGCATTAGGCTTTTCTGTGTCCCTCCTCAGTTATTTCAGACTTCACCTTCAAATATGGAAGGTTCTCCAGAATCAGATACTAAAACAAGAACTCTTGGAGCAGAGAAAGATGGCAGCGCCTAACTTGTAATTCAGTGAAAAGCAACTCAAATCTATCGTCCTGACAATGAGGTACTTTGGGTGAAGAAAATTTCCTGGTGCATGGAACATCAATAATCTGAATCTTGCTGGTGAACTGATCACAGACTTTCTGCTCCACTTATGGACGTTTCTAAATATAGACTGTTTATTTCAACTGAAAGCCTGCAGAAAAGACTGATAGCAAGAAGACAGTTTAGCAACCACCAGCAGTCACTGTTGTTGCCTGAAAAGCACAGGAAACGGGAGCTGTTTCTGCAACATAGATACTCTGATGGACTGGAAATGTTCTGAAGAGGAAAGAAGAGGAAATTGAACTGGACTCCCCTTAGAGGACAGCCACCTGTCTTTCCCACTGGGACTCCTTCATTTGGGCTCAACTGGCTGAACCCAGGCCCTCCAGCCCGGCAATGAGAGCATCCCTTTGCAGGGTTCAGCCCTGAGGATAAGAGTCTACACCAAAGGATGTGGCCTGACAGCTTCAGCTCAGTTACTCCTGCCCTGCATTCGCACCGTTGCCTGCCAAAGCAGCGTCAGCACCCCACAAAGCTTTGATCCTGCCTCCGCAGCCTTCCTCCTCATAGATCACTACCCAATCCAAGCTCTTCAGAGCTTCACGTGCTACGCTTCACTCCTTGATTTTTGGTAGCTTTCCTAGCTCTACAATATCAGCTGATAATATTCATGTAGTAGCACAGAGGGACAGGAAAGGAGCAAGTGATGCATTTTAGCTTTGCCTGTATAGCTTCAGACCTGTCTGTGTGTTTACATGGAAATGCGTGTGTGCACACACACGTGGAAAAATCACTGAAAATGTTAAGCCTCCAAAACTCTCTCCAGTATGAGGGTGGGAGTATCTCTGGATGGATGGTGACAGGACAGGAGCAGAACACCTGTTTTCTGCTTCCTATATGACATTAGATTAAATGACAAACTGTGGTCTCATTTCCTCCTCCTCTCCTTGCACATAAAAAACCCGTTTTTAGATCAACTCTTTCAGGCAAGGACTGTCTTGATCCCTATAGGGACTGATCTGGTACTCCTCTAGGTAGAGTCAAAATACAAGGCACAACCCGAGAAGTCAGCTGTGGTTGCTCACGCTTTGGTTATCCTGTCATCCAGCTGCTCGTTCGATGTGTTCAGGATGCCGTGCGTCTGAAGGCCTTGGCCCAACTTGTTAGTAAAGGTTCCCTCCAGAATGAAGCCATTGGCAAAGGACAGCTTTCCCTGCAACAGAGAAATAAAGGGTTATTCTGCCAAGATCTCATTAGTGAGAGGAAACACGCTGGACCGAGATCTCAAATTCTCTTTTCAACAGAGCCAGCTCCTGAAACAGTGACTAAGAACATCTTCCAGCACGGAGGTGCACATTTTCAGCATCCAAAGCAATAGTGTCATTAAGGTGGCAGTCACTGGAGAAAACATGTCCTTGCTATTGAACAACACACGTAGGATTCTGGAGGGGAAAGACTGGCACAATCATAGAGTAAAACATTCACATTATGCTTTACAAATACCCAATGTCTTCTTTGACTTATAAAATTTTCTGGCTTAAATTTGACAATCGTTATGTCACGAACACATGAAACTTCAATTTCTCCTCTTTTTCCTCTGCTTGTAAAAACCACAAGCAAGTTTGGCCTCACAGGTAGCGGGAATCATATGATATTCACCATAAGCACTTTCAAAATGTTTGCTGCTACCAAGAAAAACCTTAAATTCTCTGAGGCAAATACAGAAGACATGTAGTAGCTTGACTTAAACTTAGAAGTTTTAATTAAATTAAATCCAAAGCCAAACAATATCGTATTGAATACAAGCCCGAGATCCTCATTGCTAATAGCAGGAAGCAAGACATCTTTAGATAAAGAATGGATTTTTCTAGACTAATCACTCAAACTAAACATTAGTTTTAGAAGAAGTTGTATCTATAATCAGTCTCTGCAAAATCCAGCCCAAGTCTTCTGGCTGAAGACGATGATGACAAACTCTTCCTCCCATGACAAGTCAGTAAATGACAGGGCTCGTTTGCAATCATTACCAGGAGTCTATTTTGACATCCACTCAGGCTGACATAACCACACACTTCCTGTCAGACTCATCGTAGATTTCTGTAACAAGCCAGAGGAGTAGTTTTCCCTGCAACAGGGCACTTTATGAACACTTTTGACCAGATATTTCTGTTAAAGATCAACCACAAAATGTTGAACATGTCGGTGCAGCGTCCAGATTGCAAAATTAAGCTTCCAAGATCCCTCAGCTGTGTTAACATCTCGGTTACGTTACCGTAGTGCTGGTACTGCAACTCCGTTTTGTTTATACATCATCTCCTGTGTTCCCAACCACTACAAAGGCTAAAACATTTGTTCTATGAATACAAAAGCATCCCAACTGCAGCTGCAAAGCACAGCCAAAAATGCCCCACAAATAACAAAACAACCCAAAAACCCTCAATGCAAACAAAACAGTGAAAAACAAAACAACACACAAAGCCCCCAGCTACTTGAAGTCTCTTGGCTGCAGCCTTCCTTCTGTGAATAAGACTCATAATAGAAGAAAGAAAAAAAAAATCAACCAAAAAAACCCCCAAAACAGGAAAATGTTATTTTCTAGGGACTGGGGGAAGTTGAGCAGGAAAGTATGAACTTTGAAGATGAATCCATCAGCCCTTCTGGAAAGCAAGCAACTGTATAGAAAGGCTGAGATGAAGAAAGTGCTCACCTTTCCAACAAATGTTAGATCTTCTGTGAAGTTCCCTTCGTAGACAGAGTCATCTTCCAAGAGCAGAATCCCAGAACCCTTCATTTGAAAGCAGAAGTAGTGAATTCATGACATTGACTTCCTACCTACTCAAGTTCACCTAGAAACAGCCACTGTCTTGGAATATTTATGGGCTGCCAATTCTGAGAACCTCTCTGAAAGCCCAACATAGCATTGCAATGCTCAAGAGAAAAGCAAGGAGGTGCTCTAGAGATAACCCAACCCATAATCATCACTGCACAGAGGAGACGTACTGGGTAGTCAGGAGGCGTTAAACAACAGTACTATTACGTTCATTTTCCCAGAACAAGGAACAAAAGGCAGGCTCCTGTTCTAAGAACGGTCACCAAGAATTGCCATCCAGGTCAAACTCGTGGTCCTCCCAATCCTATGACCTTTTCGTGATTGTAGCCAATGGTGTCATTCTTTGCAAGATGATTAAGAGAAAAGAGGAAAGCAGCTGCTATGTAGAAGTAGCTTAGTCCCTTGCTGTGCAGTCAACAGGACTTTAACAAGCTACTCCTAACCATTCATAAAATAACTCGTTCCATTACTTCCCAACTCCCATGGCTGCTTACAGTAGCACACATTTCAGGGAAGGAGCACCAAGATGCAGAACAGACACAGGATAATTTATACCAATGGGGGAAGATTCCTCTCACTGGGGCTTAGCCCGTGGTTTATACGTGGGCCTGAAGGTTTATACGTACCCATACCAGCCAGAAAATGTGGTCACTTCTAAAGCTGTAACACATTTTCCGCTGGAATGGTTTTCTTGATGGAAAGCGCCCTTTCTGGCAAAAATAAAAGGTTTCCAAGGGAAGCTTCTTGGCCATACCAATTTTCCACTAGGAAAACTGAAGAGACTGCTCCCCACCCGGAAGCCTTGTGAAGTTAAAGGAGCCTTTGGCAGCTGGCAGACCAAAAGACAGCTTTATTTTGGTTCCCCACAGATGGAGTTTTTATGGAAAGTCCTTCCGACAAAGTTTCCATACTAAACATTTTGTCCTAATTTGGTGAGTGGGGAAGGGGTTGTTTGTTTTTTTAAGTGTGTATTTTTCATGAGAAGAAATGCTTTTATTTCCAAGCCAGTCCTAGCGATGCCAATTCCTTTTGCTTTCCCCTCCAACATCTAAATTTTCAGTGAACTGGACAGCCAACTTGTCATGGGTAAGCTCACATTGGAAAGATAAAGCCTTAATGATCTCAAAGACAGATGTAGTATGATATATATCTGCACAGCACTTCACATATGAGTTCTGGTCTATAATTCTGACCTGATAGTAAGTTAAACAGCCAGACCTATAAGGTGCTTTAGCACGAGCAAGGAGAATTGACAGTCTCACATCTAGTTCCTATCTGCACCTCATGAAGGTGATAAGAAACAAGACTTCATCTAGGCCTTCCTCTTCAAAAACATTATTGTGATAAAATGTCAATGCTTAAGTTTTCTTGCTTTCTATTTTCCCTTCAAAGATTAATTAGGAAGTGAAATCTTAATCTTGCCCTTGATGGGCATGGGCCATGTCCCACCAACCTAGAGAGTCCACTGAAGATGGGTACTCACCACCATTTTATCAGCATGAAATGTTCTTTGATAGCAGACACCCGACTGGGTTACTACAATGCCTTGTCCATGTTTGTGATCATCGAGCCATGTCCCTATGTATCTCTCCCCTCTGGAATGTAACGGAAAACAAATCATGTTTTTTTCCCAAATCATGTTTTATTAGACCTTAGTCAGTTTGAGGTATCGCTTACTGAGGCTAGTTTTACCTGATATAATGCTCTATGCAGCACAACTGCCAGATGTACTGCGCAAACTCAATTCATATAATGCTTCCCCAGGAGTTCAAGCCTTATAGCCGAGGCTGAACACATCCCCCTTTCATCCCCAAGTCCTCCCTATCAAAGCCCCTGCCAACAGAGGGATAAAACTGTCAGGCACCTAACGCCAGCTCTGATCTATACCACCTTTACCTATCTTTGTCTTCCCAGACTCCATATCCATTCTTCTTGTCATTTTCCCACTGTCCTGTGTATTTAAATGGATGGTCAGCTGAGAGGTTCTCCAGTATCCCAAACCCTTGACGCACGTTGTCTTTAAAGTAACCTTTGTAGACCATATCATTCCCATACCTGCAGGGAGAGAGACAGACAGAATTTAAGACTGTGACTATTTGATAGCTACTATTGAAGTAGGAAGCCAGGAAAGTCAGTAGATTAGGCTCATCTGCCTGCTAAATATTCCAAATATTTGACTGATTCATCTAGAGCCTGCAGTTGTTCGCTGTTAGGAATACGCATCGCCCAAGCTAGTCACTCCACAGTTAGCTTTCAATGTTATCAAAGGACACAACACTTAGGCGTGTTATTGTCCTGGGAGAGGCCACTCAGTCATTGACCTCTCACCAGCCAGTTTGCAGTGACCACTGGTTAATCCAGAGTGGGGGCAGATAAGATCAAGCAGGAAGCCAGATCTGCCTTCACCTTTCTACACTTGCCAACCACCCACCTCCTGGGCTCATCCCCCTGAGAAGAGTTCCCCTAAGCTCCATCCATGCTGGCCAGCAGATCTTCACTGCTACAAGAGAAAGCACTTATGCTAAGCAGAGCTAGCATCTATAATTATCAACAGGCTCTCACATTTGACACCAGAGACACTAGCGCAGCGCTGCTCAGCTGGCTCCAACTTCCCTAGAGATTTCTGCATGTCCTGTGCTCTGAGTTTGATTCATGAATAAGGAGCACAACAAGCAGGTTGTAGGAAGGAGGATGGCCACGGTAAGCAGCTGGAAAGTTGGGCTGCGTGCTTTTCTCTGCCACGGTTGGCTCAGTGAAAGCAGGGATATGTACGTACAGTAACAATGGGCACTCCAGTCTTCACATTGACCAACGCATTTGGCTACAAGCCACGTGTGACCTAAGCAAAGACGAGGATGCTGTTGCGCTCACTGCTACATAAACAAAGCAAGCTGGTCCTCTCCGTTTAACCCTGTAGGCTGCAAATGAAACTGGTTTATACCTACAACCTGTGGAGCAGGCCTCCGCTACCATTTCTGGCCTTCTAAATGGAAGGTAGATGGTGGGTGAGTCTGGGACACCACCATGTGCCCACAATACAGTGCTTGACAGACTGGGCTCAATCCAAACTCCCAGCAATGCTTTGAGATGCAGATGTACAACTGACTGTTTCCAGAAGCATTTTGATAAGTAAAAAAGAAAACCTTGGATTCCATTTAAGTTAAGCTCTGGGTTTAAGCTCAGAATTTGAGTGATCATGAAAAGCCAACTGGGAGAACCAGTCCCCTTCAGCAGTTTAGGATAACAATTATGACTTTCAGACCAACAATCCCACCCATCACTAAGGAAGCTACTCTGTACAATATTTAGTTCAGACGGAATGGCCAGGAGAGAAAGAGAGAGCTGTAGGCTCCACCAAGTCTGTCCAGGGCTGATGGCACACCATGCACTCTCTGGTCTGCAACCACAAGCATGAATGCAAAATTATATCCTCACCTACAGGGCACAGAGGATGTTATGTCAGGTCGTTACAATGGTCATAGCTTGCAGAGAAGATCTCACTATGCTAATACTCAGGAGACTCAGGGCTTGTGAAGAAACCACGCTGCCCATCTCCAAAACAAAAGCTTCTGGTGCCTGAATTACCCTGGGTTTTACACTGTGACTGAGCCTTTCACAGTGAGGTGGGAACATTAAATACACAGAGTCCCCTTTTCCCCCTCAGAGTCCATCTTTGGGTTTTACTTACTCACAGATTCCATATCCTCTCATCTTGCCCTCATACCAGTGGCACTTATAGCAGTCATACCGGTCTTCGGATCGCCGTGGGACAAGGCATATTCCAAACCTACAAGGTGCATATGGCAGAGGTCAGCATGGCAAAAGGCGACTCAGTTGTACTGGAAGACTGAGGACCTTCCAGACTCCCAAGCTGATTTACATGGTTGGGGTCAACTCTACCTCTGACACTATTTCCAGGTATCGACGGACTTGCTCCAAGGAAGAGCTCCTTTCCTTCTGAACTGCAGTCGGTTTCCCATTGCTTCTTCTACAGAGCTACTTTCAGTGTTTTTTCCTGTCTCTCCCCTCTCCCCACTTTAGGAGCTGAGTTAGCCTACCAAAGTAATTGCTTTGGTCCAAACAAAATGTTTCCTTAATCCTGACACAAAGTATTTGAGACTTTTTTTTTTTTCCCTTTAAAAACCTAATCTGTTTCTCAAACTCGTGTAGAAATGAGAAATCTAAAAGTCTTATTTTCAAAAAGTTTTAGGAAAATAACGTTTGAATTTCATAGCATAGTTTCTTTTCCCTGTGAACTCCTCATTTAAGAGAGGTTCTTAAAAATATCTAAAAATAACTTTTTCAAAGTACTTCACACAAATAAATTCACATAGATTTAGAGATCAGGGATCAAATTCATCCAGCTGGAGATGTCTGTATCTGTATGTGCCACATGTGCACATTTCTTATTGTAGTCACTGTCAATCCACTCACTCCAGGTTACAACCTACTCAAGCTGAAGCCAGGTGTCCAAAATAGGTCAGATGAATTGGGCCTACAAGACGCCAGTGTCCCTGTACCTCTGGGAGGTACCATTTCTTAGCTTATTTTGAAACACCCTGTTTTTTAAGGCTTACCCATGCTCCAAGCCATCTTTGAAATCTCCAACATGGTTGCGTCCGTCACGCCACTTCAGTGTCCCCCTGCAATTCAAAGCAAATAATACAGAAGGGAGATCACCAGCAACGTTCACAGCTGCAACAGAAGGTATCACGGCACAGCCTAGAAATGGCTAACATCAAAATATTTCCTCAGGGAACAGAGACACACAAGTTCTCCGAGTACCTCTGGGACCTTCATTTGCACTGTAAGGATTTAATACCATAATGTTTTCATGACCTGGAATGAGCAGGAAGAACCCTCTTTCAAGTTCCCTAATCCAAAAAGCATTTTGTAGAGTTGCTAGGTCACCCACGTAGGATCTTGCACATGATCTTTTTGTCATTGCAGTGCAGCATATGATTAAGCCAGCTGAAGTTCCAGCATGCCACATCCCCATAGACAACATAATGGCACCACGGTCCAGAACTTCATTGTGTCAGGCGCCGTGAAAACAAAAGAGACAAGCACTGGCCTAAAGGGATCATATATCTTTCCATCTGTTTTGTGTGGGAGTTGTAGAAATGATTACACGAGTTAACAATGCAACAATGAGACCGGAACGGTCAACGCGACGGTTAAATTACCGCACAGCCATGCCCAGTTCTGAATGCATTTCCCTCCCTCCCCGTCTCCCACTCCACCCACACCCACTCACTGTTTTAATTCTTGCATCACCCCAGACGCAGCCAGCTCCCGACACATTCCCCAACCAGAGACAATAGAAGATGGTGCAGTACCAAAACCATGATGCCTTTGTTTGACTTTCATGGAGGCTGTTGCCTTAAACACCTACACGAGACAGGCTCTTGTTCTTGTATTTACAGGGAAGCAGTCGGATTCATTTTAAGTGGATAAAACCATGATGCCTTTGTTTGACTTTCATGGAGGCTGTTGCCTTAAACACCTACACGAGACAGGCTCTTTTTCTTTGTATTTACAGGGAAGCAGTCGGATTCATTCTAAGTGGATTTTAAATACATTTCATTTTGCTTTGCTAGTATGAATGCTAGCAAAGGAGAGCAAGCCAGAGAGAATGCCTGCTCCAGCCATGAGGATTGTTTAAGGTACTCCTCAGCGGGAGCATCTCCTTCCCCCACACCAGGTCATCAGGGGTACTGGGACAGAGCAGTGAGGAACGCAGACTTTTTTGCTGAAGAGCCCTGATTCACACTGCTGCAGCTTTCTGCTCATGTGCTTTGTCATGCCGTTCTCTCCCTCAGAGGTGGACAAGCCATCAAGGCCAGCTTTGCTGCTCTGTAACCTTGTCACACAGAAGAGCAATTTCAGAAGGACAGCCTAGTAATTAAGCAATTAAAAATCCAGGCATTAAAAGCACCTGAAGTCACTTATTTCTGCCACAAATTTCCTGGGATGCCTCAGTCAAGTTATTTAATTGGAAGCAGCAGAGGTATTCGTTCATTTCATCTCCCCTAACCCTACGACAGAAGAGAAAGAGCAAGGAGAGGTGCTCGTCCCTCTGTGTCTGCACATAGTGGTTTCCAGATCTCTGTTAGGAGTGCAGGTGCTGGGGAAGGTGGGGATGATGCAAAGGACTGCCTCAGGCGTAGCTCTACTCTGAACACCTACTTAATGCCATTCTGGGGCAAGGCACAATCTCTTCCGCAGAGGATTCAGGATTAAGCTTTTGACTTTGGATATTCTAATTATTTTAAGGCTCTTTCAAACTAAGTCTCTACACCCTTTTTTGCTTCAACAGCAACTGTGAACAAACTGTGTAAAACTCAGGAAGTATAAAACTTCCAAATGAGTCTGTTTTGATGTCTGAGGAGGTTGGTCATACTTCATGTTTCTTCACAAAAACAGAGAGTGTGCTCTATCCTATGTCAAAGAGATTTTGGCTTGGACCGTTTAACCTTTGATTTATAGACCATTCCCTTTTGGCAGAGCTCACACCTAAACTACAGTTGGATTTAGTGAACAGCTCTCATGTTCCCAAGAAATGCATTTGAGCCTCTTTTGTACTTTATTTTTAATTCCTTTCTTAATAGTTTGGATGTTAAAATAGATTTTGATAGCACAGGATAAAACTTTTCTTTCATTCACACTCAAAGGCTTTTTATTGGGTTTTTTTTTTGTCATCATGACGGAAAGATTTTATGCCTCAGGCTGAGATTTTGAAAATAAACATTAGCTCAAGTCTAAGTCCTAATTACAGGTATAAGCCAATGCAGTGCTTTCAATGTGATCATTACCACGTTATTAGGGGGCAGCCTCTACAATTTATTGCACAAACCAGTATCGCTAGCGAGACACCTACAATACAATAGATCACATGTCAGGACTCATGCTTTGACTAAGCCCTGAAATCAAACAAACGTGTCCCAACTGACCCCTGAATCTGTCCTAAACACCAGATTTCCCTCTGGAAACATGTAAGGCAGGAAACTGAGAGGGTGGCACACCCTGGGAGATCACCAACCCAGAGTCTGTGGTCTAGGACCTCAGCATGGGATGGATCACCCCTTGTCCATCTGTACCTCCGCCTGTGCATCCACCAGATCCAGAAAGTGCTACACAAAGGCAGCAGGGCCATCCTTGCATGTTCTTGCTTAGGAAAAGGTGGGG